GGGGGGGGGGGGGGGCTAGAGATTTGTCTACAACTCTGGAATTCCACCATATTCATTAAATTCATTAGCATGCCTTAAAAGCTCCACTCTTTTTTCTTTTTCTTTTAATTTTAACATTCGCTTGTCCCTTGGTAACATATTCTATCATAATCCATCATTATTTACAAAAATGCCTTATTGGCGCATATGTTATGGTGTGATTTCTCTGTCGCATGCTAAAGACCCGAGTTTGAACCTCGAGTGGGGAGAATTTCTATCTGCTTTTTTGTTGTTGCTTGTTTTAGAAAGTTTTTTCGGTGCTCGTAACTGCAGAAGGTCATAAGAGTATGGGCGCCTAGGGGTGGATGTCAACAGAGAAGTCCAAAAGAGGAATCAGGCTGCTCACCTCTCTAGGCTTAGTTTCAAAATCAAAAAATCTGCTTCACAACTATCAAGCCACCCTGGAAATAGCAGTTCACAAGAGAAGGACAAAAATACAAAAGATGTCGTAAGTACAAGGAAAGAAAAAGCAGCCAGTTCTATTTGCGTTGGTTTTTCGATTTACAGCTAGATAATCTAGATACCATTCAAATGTCACGAGACAGGTGTGTTTGTGTGTGTGCGATCATATCCTGGACCGTTCTGCTCAAAAGTTCAGGATGATTATTTTGTTTCGAATTGAGCGGGAAAACCCGAGTTCAAATATTGCGAGTATAGGGGTGGGGGTGGGCTGGGGTGAGGGGGAGGGAGCAGAGAGAATCTTTAGCGAGTAACTGTATTCCTGTCTTTCTGCCTGAATGTTGTATCGCTTTCAGTCTCGGTTGGTCCTGACAGGCAGGAGAGAAGTAGCCTAGGCCTCCAAAAAGATCTTATTTGTGTCTACAGGGCTGTTAAAAAACATCTAGAATCTACATTGTATTTCTTACATAATGATCGTGGCATGTCGAAAAAATTATGTAAAAAACCGTACATTTTTACGGAGTCACAATCAGAATACTAAGTATGTATCTAAATCTAGCTTAACGTTATCGTTGTTCATATTACTGTTCATTTATATTATGAATGTGACTGTAAGCCTGCGTGTGTGAGTATGTTTGTGTGTGTGTGTGTGTGTGTGTGTGTGTGTGTGTGTGTGCGTGGGTGTGCGCGTGAGCGTGTGCGCGTGAGCGTGTGTGTGTGTGAGTGTATGTGGTGAAATACCAAACTAAAGTGTCAGAATCTAGAGACAAGTATCTTATAGCATTATGGCTTGTTGTAGAATTTGTTGAGAAGGCCTATCTTATCTTATCTTATCTTATATAGTATTATGCCTCGTCGTAGAATCTGTTGAGCATCTTATCTTATCTTATAGTATTATGCCTCGTCGTAGAATCTGTTGAGTATCCTACAGTACTCACCATCAACACACCCGAAAGAAGGGCTCCCTCACTCAGCAGCAAGTGGGAAAAACACAACATCGCAATGTGCCATCAGCAGCTACACACCACACAGTCAGTCCTTGCTTGCTCCCCACCCTCCGCGGCTACACACATCCGTTAGTATAGATCTGTAGCCCCATCAGTCTTGAGACAAGATCATACTACGCCGATCCCAGAGCAGTAGAGGAAAAACGAGGAAGCGCGTGCGTGCTTGCGCGTGCGTGCGCGTGCGTGCTGTGTCTGTGTGTGTGTGTGTGTGTGTGTGTGCGATGATGGCTCACATTCTGCTTCTCGTCCTGTCAGTGTCTACTGACTGACTACAGACTCTTTGCCTTTTCCGTTATCCACCTGTATTGTCTGCCTTCTCTAAAAAGTCACGCGTTCAAACGAAAAAAAAAAACAACAGCAAAACAAAACAACTTCAAGCCGGATCACAGTCGGTGAAAATCTGCGGTGTTTATTTCCGTTTTTGGTGGATTTTTTTTTATCTACGATTCGGCCCAAGTTGTCATTCAACTGGCATCAAACAACAGGTGTGTGTGCGATCATGTCTCAAAATGTTCCGTCCGAAAGTATTATAGGATGATTTTTTTTTTCAAAATGAGCGGGAAAGGAGAGACGGTGTATATCAGTGCACTGGGCGGGGAAGTTTGAAACGTAAAGGGGGAAATAAGTAAAATAGCAGCCAGGTTACTCTAAAATATCAACACTATCAGTTCGTCCGGGAACACAAACCTATCACTAAGACAAAAACGCTCCGTAAACAAAAATGTTCGCTGGACACTATCTCCAAAAGAATGTCCCTACTCAGTCCGAGGAAGCTCAACAAGTTGAAAAAAACCCACACACTCGCACACTCGAGCTCAAATTTTCTTTCCCCCCACCACTACGACTGACTGAAGCCTGTTGTTGCGCGTTTCTTCACAACAATTTGAAAAACGCCCTCCAAAATTTCCCCTGGGTTTCGCCCGTTCTGCGTCGAGTTTGTACAGCGGGGGTGCGAGCGAAAGAGCCGAGTGAGTAATCCGGATCCGTATGCACCGCTCACGCGCGCCGCTCGCTCGCCTCTCACAGCGGAATGTAGCTCCTAGTGGGTGAGTGGCGTCATTTTGTACGTGTCGCTCAATACAGAGTGAGCTAGAGCTAGCTCCCTGCGCTGCCGCAGTGGCACGAGAGGGGAGGAGAGAAGAGAGGAGAGGAAGAGAGGCGGTGAGATGACAGGGAAGAGGTCAGAGAGAGAGAGAGAGAGAGAGA